AAAAAAAAAAATACCTTCAACTTCAGGTGACTCTTCAGTTTTGGCTCCGAGCATATTAGCAGCAATATTCACCATGCTTAGGATAGCATCTAAAAGAGAAAACAACTGCTCAGAGACAACCTATTCAAAGGACCCAGAGATTAGCACCAAGAAGCCATCTGCTGTTTTGTAACAGTTCCTTGAACACAATCCCAGCATAAGCACATTAAAAAACACAGTGTTTTTATTACACGGAATACACCTATGGCTTTTAAAGGCTAATTTATAAACTAGAAACCTTTATATGTCAAAGCCTATATCTAACCTTTACCAGCTGGACCTACTAACACCAGTGAGAAATACTGATCATTAGACCACTGAAATCAAGTAAGACAAACAGAAGAATATTTAAGCAGGGAATTTTCTGACAATCTGAGTGTGAACCACTGAGGGAGGTCCCAAGGCAGAAATTTAGAGCTTGAATACTCGAACAGAGGAGCTCTAATAAAGACACGTTGGATCATTCGCCATAATAGTACTAAAGAAGTTGGTAAAAAAGTGTCATTTGCTGAACAAGCAAGACAGAATTGTGTCTTTGAACACGGGATGTGTGCAGGAGGGTAGACACAGAAAACTACCAAGGCATTCAAATTAATCTGGACACTGTCCCTTTGCATCATACTTCCCTCCTTAATTCCAAATTGTACTTTCAGCTTCAATACTATTGCAACATAGCAATTATAAATATTTCAAGGTTTGAAGAAGAAAATCTACACTTTACAATCTGTTACCTGAATGCAATCTAGATCAGACAAGGCAAGAAAAAACTCTGAAAACCACACTATGCTGTGCAATATTCCTAGCCATAACTTGAAGTGATAATTATGTTCTAGGAAACAGTAGCGAAGAGCCCTGCAGCTCTGATCCCTTACGGGACAAAATGAAAGCCTAAGCAAAAATAGCATTTTTTTCAAGTGCAAATCTACACTACAGTAACAGGACTTTACTAACTGAGATGGAAGGAAGAGTGGCACAGTGTAAGAGCTCTTACAAGTTGTGTGGCAGCTGATATTATCCTAAATAATTCAGCAGTTAAGAATGCTATTAAAGTAATTCAGTAGTTAAGAATACTATTAAAACTGAATATTCAAGTATTCATAGACAAGCAAACCAAAGGAGAAGTGACAAGAGACAATAAAGAACCATCAGTACTATCAAAAACCCCATATAGCTCTTAAGAACATAACAGCTACCATATTTACACAAAGTCTTCTCACAGAAACAGCGCTCTCCATCCCTTCCTTTCAAGCTGCACAAAGTAAATCTTTATATTGCCTCCAATAAGATACCTTCATTAAGCACAGATTTCAAAGACCTAAAAATTATGGTTCTACAGCACTTTAGTATTGGTTATTTACAGTCCTATGTAACATTCATTATTTTAAGTGCAAAGGATCCTTAAGTACAGAAAGTAAACTTTCCAAAAAATAGAAATCCTTAGAACTGTAAAGTTCCATTTTTAAAACACTAAGAATGATAATCCAACTTGAAATTGTTGCTATTTATTTCAATGCAATTAAACAGGAATCACAAATTTTCAGAAGAAAACTATGAAAGTTGCAGTTGTTACATGACAAAGCTTTATTGCACTTTCAATTAACTCATTTTGATTCAACACAGCAACGATTTTTCTAGTGAACAATACTCACTTGTAGCAGAACCAAGGAGATTTTTTGAAGATTTTTCTTCACCTGTATTGTAATCCAATAGATAATCTATGTATAAAGAAGAACAGTTACAACTACCAAAATTAAATGTGTTGCAGGCAAAGAAAAACCTCAGGATTTAACACGTAATCCACCTATGCAAGTTTGACAGCATGAAAACAGAACTACAGAAATAGTTAAGGAATTTGTTGTATTGTCCTGCTTTTAGCTAAAGAACTCCAATCCTGTTTAGTGATTTTTACCTTCCAGTTTAGTCTCTTCTAAAAGGCTGCACTTTCTGAAGTCAGCAGCATGTTTTTGCAGACAGTGTGTGCTGCTGGCAGTGATAACACCTGATGTTACAGTCACTGCCTGGGACTGGGACGCAGAAAGGCTCTTGCTTATACTTATTCCTGTAGTGCCCAAGGCCACGGCTGGCTCCGTGTGCCACACTGGGGGTGCCGGGTAGTAAAGGGGGGTCACAAGGAAGTAAAAGGTTCCACCTCCGGGGGGTAATAGACAGGACAGGTGACCAACGAGAGTATTCCATCCCATATACGTCATATTTAGTGTAAATTGAGTGATCATGAGAGTTTCTGTCTCTTTTTCATTTTTCTGCAATAGCCGGCGTCCAGGGAGGACTCTGTCTGACCTCCTGCTTTTGATCTGAATCCTTAGTTCCTGAATGCAGGTCCCATACCCAGCTCCCCACCGCCACTGAGCCGGGGCTTCCCAGTGGGGATTGCCACCAGGGGTAAGTCAGGTTCGATATTGGGCTTACATGCAGTTGTACATAGTTCCTTTATTTTTATCATTTCACTATTATTTCCATTAGTGTTTTATTAAAACTGTTCTAGTTTTCCTTTTCTAACCCATAAGTCTCTCCACCTCATTTCCTTTTCCTTCCCATTTTGGCAGGGGGAAGAGGGGGCTAGAGAGTATCTGTCTGCGTTTAGTGGCCAGCCCAGTCCTAACCTGCGACTTGGTATGCAGGAAATGACAAGCCACCAGACACATCTGAATGGCTAAAAAGGTAGAAATTATTTGCTTACCATCTTCATCAAAGAGTTCTTGTCGTTCAGACTGATACTGAGAATCAGCTATTTCTTCATACTCTTCAACCATGCTAGTACCAAATACTCTAGAATTTTAAAAGAAAAACCTAGTATTAGTCTATTAGTCATGAAATTACTTGACGTAATTGATAATTAGATAAGCAATATGAGCATTATATAATACAAAGCAAATAAATTAGATAAGCAATAGTTGCCTTCAGCTAATCAAGATCAAGCAGCAGGTACGCTTATTTTCTCAAACTTGCTTCCTTTTTCCTTAAAGCCCACTTCAGGTGCTGTACCAAAACAAGATCCTGTTTTTAATTCTAGCAGTTCCAAAGAGACTTTTCCTTCATTTTAACTAGAACTCATACCTAGACTCCCTTTTCTTAATCTCTCCACAAGCTCTTATGCTTCCTCTCCAGCTTCACCTCTGACTAACTTTAGGACTACCTATTCATGACTACCTCTGCATACTAAATTCTCTGCACACTATATGCACTTTGCATACTATATTCTCTTTGATCCGCTCTGACGAAATAAAATTTACAGCAGTTTTCTCAACTCAAACTACAGTTTGGCTTGTAACAATAGAGTTAGATCTCATGTTTAAATCCAGGTGAAGCTTTGTCAGGAGAACTGAAATTGGTTTTTCAGGAGCAGTACAGAGGCTGATTATTCTCTAAACTGCACACACACAGTCGTTCTGATCTGGGTATTCCCAGCATTACTAGTTATGTGTACCTGGGGTGCCGTGTGACATAGCAGCTTCCCAGGAGCACTCACCACACCTGCTCGTTTTATTTTACCATTTGTTGTGCTTGGCCAGCCTTGAAAAACTTATCTCCTCCTGTAAAGCTGCTCATACTCCTGTTTCCTAACACCCCTCCTGCAAATATAAAACTACTCCTCACATAGTGGAGAATCCAAAGATTCAAAGCTTCTTTAAACAGATGTGAAGCATGCAGAGTGCATAAGTTACTTCAATTCTCAGTGTTAGCAAATAACTTAAATGGAAAACTAGGATTTGTTGCCCAAATATTATCAAAAGACACTAAGCCTCACTGTAAGGAGGTAGAGAGATAAAGGAAAACAATTAAAGGTATTACCTTATAAGACTTAACGGACAAAAATGTTCCGATCCAAAGTGTGATATCAACTCCACCTAAAAGACAAAAGATACTTAAAATTCCAAAGACCCACAGAGTTCATTTAACATATACATCCAATCTTGAAATCGCAAATTTTGTATACTCAAGGGATCTGTTGATTGCCCATAACAAAAAGACTCTGAAAGATTTGGTCTTGCCATGCATTAAAGTGCTGAGTCGCAGTAGAGAACACCCCAAGCCCCATGCATTCATCATTCCAAGAGAAGAGGTTGCTAACCTTTATGTACTTGATGAACATCTGAAGCAAGAGAAAGGGAAAAAAAAAAAAAAAAAAAAAAAGATGTCAGTACAAAGGCTGAACACATGCCACAGGCAACAACGGTTTTGTTATTTTTAACTCTACTATAAATGCCTAAGAAGAAGTTATGAAAGATAAAGTTGCAATACTACTACGTCTGCTTTAGGTAGCAAGACTTCATTTAGCCTTCATACCTTGCAGACAGAAGGTAACATGCAACACATGCTTTATTAATCTACTTTAGTTATTCAATTTTCTACACAGCACGATCGCAGACAATACTCAAGTGCGTTAAATTTACTAAGTGTATTTTTTTCCTTTAAAGAGCACATGACTCAAAAGGAAAACACACCCTAAATAGCAGGCATTCTATGTACTGATGCTGATTCAAATTCAATAAAACACGCTTCAATTTATAGAAACACTACTGGAAAAAAGTATAGAGCATCTGATATATATGATTCTGAAGCTTCAGTCATCTGTGTGAGAACTTGGCTACACACTGGTATTTATTTAATCCAATTTAATTTGCAAGTGTTGAATACATTTATCAAACCATTGTGTAGACCCTAGCAATGAAGGACTGTAATAATCCTCAAGTGAAATCACGATAACTAATCCCATACAAAGCACTCTTGCAAAAAAAAAAAAAATCCATTATTTTTGTTACAAGTTCATTAAGTCACTTCAAAAATCAAACTTTTTGAAAAAAAAAACAATTTGGATTCTCCTGTAGATAAGGCACACTTAGAACTTGTTTACTTTTTGTGCTATAAAGTAAAAACATTACAAGAACAATCCTTTGAAAATTTTACGATGCTACACTATTCCAGGCACAACATTGTATCTGCCAAGGAATTAAGTGCTGAAGCATCTAGTGTAATTCTGCAACTTCAGAGACAAGCAAGATTCCAGCTACCTTAAGGCAGTAATTCAGTCAGAAAGCAGAATTAAAAATAAATGAAATCTTTGTCCTGTGACTCATGCAGAATTTCTGGGTAGAGAAGTTATATAACTATCATTCATGGCTATGTCTTCACAAAAGCAGTTGGGTTTTTTTTTCTTGGCAGCACCATAATTGGAAGATAACACAACACTGGAGAGGACCTAAAGGGTCTGTACTTTATTTGAATTTAAACCTCCACTACATCCCAACAGTTTCACAAAAGCTTTTATCCCAGTCCAAGTACCATATTTATGGAGTTTTATTCTGAGTCTCCTGAGTAAAGATAGTTTGCTGCAAGTTATTTTGCAGGCAGAATAACGATGGCTAGTGCTCCACTAGTAGAAGTCTACATTTGCATAAGTTGCAGTTATGACTGAAGAACTGCAAAACTGCTCTTCAAGTCTACTAGTGAGAACCAGAATTCAAACGCTTATTCTTTCAGGATCACTTGAAACTGTAGAGCAGAATACAGTACCAAAGTATCAAGAAATATGCATATTCTTTTACATACATATATATACATATATATGCATGTAAAGCAGGTACAGCCAATAGCCAGACTAGCTTAATAGTTCTTATGTTCAGGATGTTAAGTCAAAAAGAATAGAACATTGTCTAGATTTTTCTTAATTCAGGTATCAGCTAAGTAATTATGCAGTAGGATACAAGGTAACAGGTGTTTCCCAAGATCCTCTCATTTACCATTACAAGGAAGGTAACGCAAACTGTGATTGTGTGACAAGGGTTTAGTACACAGCTAATCACACTTGAGCCATTAGTGCAATTAAGGGTAAAATATGCTTTGATAAAACATTTCTCTGGATGCTCTGTCATATAGGGAAATAAGCCCAAAAAACCCCTCCTTTCCAGAGGAGCATGGGCGCTTTTGCACTGTTAAGTTACCTTAGCATATTTTGCATACATCTGTTCATCCAGAGGAAAGCTCTGGACATTTCTTTCATCTCTGGCATGGAAAGTACCTAATTTAATCCATTTATTTGTTGGGTACCTAAAAAAGAAACAATGGAGTCAGCTAACAAAATACAAGAACCTACTGTTTACAGACATTTGCTGAAGTTTCCAAAAAAATTCAGCCAGCCTAGAGTAAAGTTTCTGGAACTGGAAAGTCACCTCATACGAACACTGAAGTGATAGGTTGTAAATATTATTGTAAACAAGCAGCAAAAAACTGAGCAAAGCAGAGTTAGAACTAGGTAACAGATCAAGTGTTGAAAATCAGAATCTATACACTTTAAACACTGAAGAATGATTTTTTTTTTAGATGCACTGTGTGAACATCTCTTTCACACAGCAGAATCTGCTCGCTCCTGGAAAGCAGTGGGGTTACAACACTACCTAAAACACAACAAAAGCATCCTTTAACCAGTCGTTAGGCCAACCAGTAATATTCTTATCCCTTCCAATTCATCTGTGGTGTACTACTAGGTTGGGTTTTTTCTTTTTAAATAATTTGGGGTTTGGTTTTTTTGAACAGAGTTCAGTATCGAAGACAGCTTAAGCTATGTGAAAATGGTCTGAATGCCAAAAGAGAAGACAGCCTACAATGTCAGTGGCATTCTGTTATGTAACGTTCATTTTATAATCTGCCATCCACTACCTAGCTGCTGTATTGCTACTGTTGCTTCCTTGTTACTTTTCAAACTTTCCCTTTTCATTTTTAAGGTGGCACATAAAAAATAAAGCATAGAAAGAACTCAGACCATGTATTCTAGGACCTTACAGTTGCCCTTTCCGTAGAAAAAAAAAAAAGGTAGTAACTGGTAATATATACACACAGAGAAAATCCATGTGATTTCACAATGCATTGCACTTTGCATAACAACAGGTATACACAGACTATGTTTTATGAATACATCCATTTAATAATTGTCATTTTTCATTCAGAAGGAATTTTTTTTTATAACATACCTGTCACTAATAGACACTAGGAAGTCTTTAGGAGTAGAAGAGAATAATTCATGATTTGCAATGTCAAACTGCTTTACTTGGACTGGTTCACAGAGCTCAATAACAAACCTTGAAGATGAAAACAAAGTATTAAAAAAAACCCAGCACTTTTTCTTCTACACTTACACTCCTCAGCCCTTCCTTTTGTTACTGCATGCTGTACAATAAGGAGACATCACTAGTGCTATTTACCTGTGTGACTAGCTTAATTCTAGATAGCACCTGGTGCTGCAAAAGCTTCATTCATCTTGTACTCAAACACAACAAGTCACAGAACTAAAAACTAAGGAAAGCAAACATCTTCTGAACAAAAACTAGAACACCAGGTAGTATATTTTAAATTCTGATCATGTACCCTGCAATTATTTCACAGTGGGGGGAAAAAAAATATAAAATCTTTACTTGAACACTCAGTGCTTTCTCTTCTTTATGATTGCACTTTGATGCAAACACTACAAATACTGAAGTGAGTAAAGTTATCCCCTTAATCTTACATCTCAATGCCAGAAAAGGAATTCTGTGGGGCACATAATAAAGCATCTGGCACTAAATCTGTCTATGTTCCTTACACACACACATTTCAGGCACACCCCAAGGTCAAGTCAGTCTCACAGGACACACAAAATCCCATCATGACAGAAAATTGTAACCATCCCTGACATACCAGCAAACCTCAGTGACCTACCAGATTTTAGTACTGCAAGGATTTAGCATATAAAGGTCCATATTTTCCATCAAAATAGCTGAAGTGCTCTGTATGAAAAGAATTAGTATTTTAAATTGTATGGTAGATACTAGCCCAGCACCAAAGGTTCTCCCCCGCCTTCAAAAATTTGATATCATTTATGTAGACTAATACTAAGTTTTGCAGCATTCTAATCAAACTAACATAAAGGAGACAGTATGTCACACTACTTTGAGGCAATCAGATTATTTACTATGGCCAGCTGGTTAATACAACATTGCTCAGTTGTTCAATTTCTGTAGTGAGTAGACTCTGCTCCCCATCCCAAATTCACTTAAAAAGACATCAAGTTCCCACTTAAAGGGACCGATCATAGCCTATAGCCCATTTCTATAAAGCAAAAATCACAAACCCAGACACAGAAATACAAGATTACTTCAGAAATCAGTGTTCAGTCTAAAGTAAGTGTACTTCAAACTACTTCATGCATAAGAATAAACTGAAACAATGCACACTAATAATTAGTAAATGCTTACCTTTGCCTCTGGATTGGCTGCCAAAATTTTGGCACCACACTCTACAGAGGCATAGTTATTTCTGTTTTTCTGCACTTTTTTTGTGGAATGCTGCCCACCAACAGCTGAAGGGTGCATTGACTGACCTGGGAACAAGAGAATACTGTTAGCACAACAAAACACACAGATAAACAATATTTTCACTTCCAGGGCACTTCTGCTCATTGCTTTTACATAATAAATGCTATTAATTATGTAGTTCTAGCAGAAAAATAAAGTTCCAGGCTGCATCCAAAACAGTTTCACCCTTCAAATCCGATACAAGATGAAAGTGGTTTGTATTTAGACCAGATCAATGAATCCTGAACTTACTCTTTTCTTTCTCCACTTCCATGACTTTCTTCTTCCATTCATCAAATGTTGGAATGTCTCCTGGGTCCTTTGGATCTATCACCGATGTAGGATCAATTTCTCCTGGTTTTTTATAGTCTTTCTGCTAAAGGAAGAGTCACCAATTGTGAATACTTTTCAGTACGAACAATGAGAACCAAGATGAAGTTCAATACTACTACTAAAAGAAATTAAAAATAAAAATGCTCTCATCAAGTCAACAGTAGATACATTCCAAACCTGTTAAAAACTCAGTGCCAAGGTCAGCCTACGAGCCAGAAAAAACTTGATTTTTTCCCAGAATTACAGATTCTTTCACCGAGATACTGGTAATTTTTGTGGTTAAACTAACACATTTTAAGTAAAGCATATACATTCCGTCTCAAGTCTTTTGAAGATTTTTTTGCTTTATCTCCTCTTATTTAGCTATTTAAAAAACCCTAAGCTTTAGGAAGTGTCTCACAGTAAAAACATATAAGCAGTCACACAATTCAGTATAAAATACCTGGCTAGCTAAGTATCCAAATACAATACCTAGGAAAGAATAAAAAGACACCAACTATTTTGTATTTCCTCCAGCTGCCATCTTTGCCTCTAGCCATCTGCTTAGTACTCATGAACTCCCTGCCTCAGTCAAGATTCAACCCTCAGACTTCTCTTCTACAAGCTTCCCTAGACCATACAACACTCCCCCTTCCTCTTATTTTTTTAAACCTATGTAAAAAAAAAAAATCAGCATCCACAGCATTTTGCTTTAAGTCTCAGCTTAACCAGCTGTTACACAAATAACGTTTCTTCCTGATTCCGCTCCAGATTGTTTTATTTGCTTTCCCCCAAGTATCTGAACAGACTTCACTCAGAAAAACTCTTCTGTGCTGCTCTTTTCTTCCCGTTTATTACATCCTTATTGAGGTGGTAATACCAGAACCGCACAGAGAGCTCAAAATGTGGCATGTGCATTTACAGCAGCAATCAGAAAAGTGATGGATATCACTCATCTTTAATGCAGTGAAAACAGAGAGTATTAGGCTCCTGTGCGTGCTTAGTGGCTATCAGCAGCACTTACCTCCCTTTTTAAGTTCTCCGAGGCATTCAGGGCAGATTTTTGCTCATCTGCCCCCTTTTCAGCTGCTGAAACTTTCGGCTCAAACTCAGATTTTGTCTTCTTTCCCTTGCCATGTGATGATGATATGTTCTCTATATGTTGACCTGCAAGGCTGAAAGTTTTGAGAGTGTCAGGATCCGTAAAATGAGCACATTTTCAGGCATATGCAATATAAAGCACACACAAAACTGCAGGTAAGAAAGGACATGCATATGTATGTTGCAAGGCCAGGACAGAACACAACAATTGCCTTCAAATTATTCAGACTCAGAACCTACTTCAATACTCACCTTTCTGGTGGACTGACAAAAGAGGAAGGCTCACTCTGAGGGTCAGCCTCAAGTGTCCCACCAATATCACAGTCAGGTTCTGACTGCTCAGCTTCACTAGAGCTCACTACAGGGATATCAGCACGGGAATTTTCTATTGCACTGAATGGAAAGAAAAAAACACGCTTTTACCCTTCTGATTACACAAGTATCGCTGCTAATCAACCACACGACTAAAGGTATTTGAAAGTTATTTTTAAAAAGCATCAGTCTCAGAAATAATTAAAGGAGGAATGAATATGCTATACTTGTGAAACCGCATTCTCAGCTGTACCCACACAAGAATGGAATTTTCCAGATTGTTTGTCTCGAAGAATACAAAGCCAGCTTCTCATCTCCCAGAACTCTCATCTGACATTTTACCAAACACTGCAAAGGATAATTTTTCCCATCATCACCATAAATTAAGAACAGCTTCAGAGTTACATGACCACCAGCTATCTTCCCTTTCAACAAAGGGATCAAACATGGGACTAAGTCTATCACTAAAAGCTCCTATGTTCCCAAATCAATGGGCAGCAGTCAGAACAGAATTTGGCTAAAACTGGAGGAGAGAAGGGGTGGCACAACAATATATAGTTCATTTCCACTAGATTTTTTTTTTTCTAGTGTGATAAAAATGAGGTAACTCAGTAGACCATTATCCAAGTCGCATCACCAGCCTGAACTAATCTGCTCACGGCTTCACTTCCTCTCTCCCAGAAAGGCTGAACACATCGCAACAGGCAAATCCTAACACAAAAACCAAAAAGCCCCTCATGTGCTCTTTAGCAGTGATAGAATGGGTGGGCAGGAAAAGATGGACAAATAATAACTTCCAGCTGACAACTTCTGTGACTGTCCTTCGGTACTGGCATGAGTTTCATCTTCATCTAGAAAATTATAAACCAGATCTAAGCTTTACTCTGCCTCCTAAATTTCAACATAAGATTTCTTCAAAGTCAGAAGCAAACTAGGTTAATCCAAAATCATGATTTAGAGCTGCCAAAACACAAAACAGCACATCAACAGCTTAAAAGTGGATTGTTTCAGTTCTGACTGCTGCAATTAGCAACAGAAATAGCTGCAACCAACCTAGGAAGCTCATTTTAGCACCTTTCACATGATGAAGTTCCCACAGTATAAAACAAAAAACTCTCACAGGTATCCAAGACTTTTTGCTATGTACCAAAACGTAACAAACACTAGAAATACAAGAATCCATTAGATACAAATAGAGAGTAGTTTCTCTGAACACCCCAAAAGCATATATCTAAGATGCATATGCTTTAGCTCTTCGTGTAGCATTTTAATGACTGAAGTACGGTTGACCATCACACTTAAAATTAAAAAGCTCCACATATTCTTGATCTCAGTGGATAGGTGACAGTATGAATGATTACCAACAGAATAAACTATGGGACCAGTATGAACTTAAAAACACTCTGTGTTTTTAAAAGCTGTAGTGCTCCCTCTCCTCTGGGTACTTTCATTTGTCAGTAGCTTTGCCTTATTTTTTGAAGTGCATTATCAAGCTCACTTTGCATGGCAGCTGTCTTTACTTGCAGCCAGAAGAGGAACTCGGCTTATTTTTAAAGAGGTTTTTCCCAGATTAGGTCTGGATAGAAATGCTACAATCAGTGCATCCTAAAAAAAGATTCATGACAGAGTAAAAACAGTTTGGAATATAATTTCTTCCAGAATGTTTTGACTAGGAGGCCTTGATGGAATACCATACCAGCAACACCTAAGGGAGCTGGACTTTGTTACAGTCACGGGAATCAGCATCTAAACCAGGAAAAATGCTGTCTAAACATAACAAATGCAACCAATTCTTAAGATCTTGTTTAACTACGGAGTTAGACTACAGCTGTTTTGGTTGCTAGAGTTAATCTGTACAAAAAGAGACCACCTATTACTGTTTAAAGCTAAACTCAAGTTCGAAATAATGTAATTTCTTGAGAGGCGTCCCTGTCCATGACAGGGAGGTTGGATTAAATGATCTCTAAGGTCCTTTCCAGCCTGGGCCATTCTGTGATTCTGTGATTCTCTCCTATATTCACTCTACCCTTTCCTCCTGTAAACAGTACTAGTGTCAGAACGCTACCACCAAGCATTAACTAATACATCAAGTGCTCAAAAATAAGTTTCCATTTTCATTTGTTTCATAGTTAGAGTCTTCAAAATTCATCACTCTAGCATGGCCCAACTATGACAGCAGGATTGTTTTCAAGAATTACAAGACCTCAAGCTGAACATTCAAAAGAAACTAAACTTCTTGAATCTTCAAGAACTGACAACATTAGGACTAAGACACATCGCACAAACAAATCAGTAATCAACAAAAGCTATAAATAGAAACATGCTGACATTATATTTGCCTTGGTGTATAGAAACTGCAAATCTGGAAGGCTTGATTTTTGAAGACTTGCAGTTAAAGACACTTATCAAGTGACAAAAGGTACTTAAGCATTAGCCCTAGCAGACTGAGCAAGAGCAGTGAGCAGACAAGATTCCTAGACCTTTACTATGGTAAAGAAATTTGGTAAGCCAGAAAAACTGGACTCTTAAAAAACACAGAAGTCTACTTCATTTTTAATGTGCTGACTTTTAACTAACAAAATATTAGAACTTTATCAGCAAACAATCAGAAGAATATATTCCCCTTAGCATACATTAAAAAGCCCAGAAGAATTCTGTAAAAGGACCTAGAAGTATATACACATGAACTTCCACGCTACAGTTTACATTTGATAGCACAACATTTCATAAGGGAAACAAAATAAAGCACATCAACTCCTGAAGACCGCCTGTGGCAGAGCCAGCTCTGCAATACACTACTAAGTACCAGAATTACGAACTGTCTCAGTAACATTTCTACTAAAATTGGCCGTTTCATCAAAAGTGGAATACCAGAATTTAAGACTGCTCTGCTGTAAATCTCAGAATAAAATGCTGTGAAGTTCTTCTTTAACTGAAAGCAGAGGCCATTGTTAAAGTAGCCTCGACGCTTGTTATCACAGATGTGAAAGCACATTTATGAAGGGCAGATACCCTAATGGTGAAGACCTGAGGGCTTTTATAGAACAGATATCCAGCACAAAGAAGACATATGATTTTTTTTCTGTCAAAGCAGCAGCTTTGAAACCAGTAATGGCAATAGTGTAACACCTCACACAAGTACACAACTCGTAATCCACACATTGAGTAAATGATGGCATATTCCATTAACACTGACACCATACACCAAACACAGCAAAAGAATTACATGTAGAAATCTAGTCTTATCCCTACTAGACCTGAAGAGGTAACCCTTTTAGCAACATCAGAGTAAGCAATACTTTCCCAAAACAATAAAACAAGCTTACTCGGGCTGTGAGACTGGAGGTATCTCTGAGGTAGGTGAACTGGAAATGTTTTCAGTGCTTGCAACTATGCTAGACGAAGCTTCATTTAAATCTACTGAAGGTGGAGTCTCAACTTCAGGTTGGCTTGCTTCGCTCATTTCTATAGTCTGTGAAAACATTTCAGATGAACATATATTTTTCAAAATTTGAATAGGAAAAGCATTCACCCAGTAACACCTAGTATGCAGATTTAACTGTTCAGTAGTTCAGTTTTCTGTTATCAATGAACCTGAAAGCCAGAGAGCAAGACAATTAAAACACACATTTTCCTTCTTTATAAACCTAGGCAATATCCAGTGCTACTCTGGCAGTTGCAAACCTCTTCCATAGTCTCCAATAATAATATAAAAATATTAATTGAAGAAGGCATGTGAAACAACTTCCTCAACCACGCATTTACACAGAGACGGTCACAAGAAAACAAGCTTGATTGTTTCAGCAACTGAAATAAATGGTTCTATTTGCATGGTCCATTACAATAAAGTATACATCTACTATTTTTATCCTAAGCTTTATTTTGGGGAAGGCTTTCAATTTTATCACTCCAATGGAAGTCCAAAATGATTAAGAAGTCTATTCCATGTTGTAACTGAATAAAGACATAAATCATTTATCACTTCTGAGAGTCCAGTAATTTTGAGTTTTTTATTCTATGTCTTCAGTTTTCCTAAGTCCTTGCACAGCGTAATCAAAACAAGGCTTTCTGAATCTGGAAGAATACATAACCACTGAAACAGCTCAGATTAATAGTATTTTGTATTGCTGCAAGAATTAAGCAAGATTCTCTTGTCAATAGCTGGATTGCTCCGAGTCATTGAATTGAACATGAAGAGGTCTAGAATGCTTTACTATAGAATTACATATCTAAACTATATTATATACATACAGAAGTATGTCCCATTTAAGTCGTCTTTTAATCTACAAAACAGAAGTATATATCAAATAAATCATATTTAACAGTGGGGCTTGTAACATTTAACACCAAGCACTGACTTAATGGCATTAATAGCACATACAACTGAAACGTGACCCTTCTTACATTTTAACAAAGGAAATGTAATGGACAGAAGCCACGAAGGATCAAAGTTAAAATGGACCACTGCAACCACAGAGGCTGATCTATGTAACAGACCTCATTGAGAATGCTCTTTACGTTTTGTTTATAAAGAGACAGCTATAACATCCAATTCTAATTTTTCTTGAAAAGGTTTTAGTCAGTACCTACAAATATTAAGTTACTTTTATTATTACTTATGCACACGGGAAAAGCAAGATCTGTTAGCTCACATATTTTCAGTGGAAACATGAGTCTGACGGGAACCCTGCACATAAGTAAAATGCAATAGACAGATACTGCAAGCTTTAGATAACCAGAACGAAATACTCTGAAATCCAAGAAGCATTGGAAGAGTGCAAGGAGACAGTGAATGAAATAAAAGTCTTACCTGATCCGATTTTGTAAACTCATCAAGTAGCTCTTCCGTAGAGTAACTTCGTGTACCTGAGTCCACATGATCAGACTCCAGTCCGGGACCAGCCTCTTCACCCTAGTACATAAAAGGTAAAAGCAGTAAGTATGAAATAACACAGGCCTTCTATTCTAGTAAGAGGAGTTATTTTTGGTACAGACTGAATAAAGCTATCTTTACAACCACCAAAATATCAAGAAGTTAGGCTACACAAATCTTCAGAGCCACTGTCCACATACATTTAAGATCTCATTTGTACCAGGATAAAAACGCATCTGTACCAAGTTAAAACAATTCAGTTAAATCTTTACAGGAAAGACTGTTTTAGCATTGCCTTAAATCGTTCAGTTTGTGCACTAAGGAAAGCTAATCATTCGGCTATAACTTCCCATGTTGACAAATCCTCCTTTCTCCTTGCTGCCCAAAACAGAAGGGGGGGAAGGGAGGGAAAACACACCCTAGGATGACTTGCACCAGACAACCATTAAAAAATAACCTCAGCACATTTCAATTATAGCAGACTTATCAGTATAACTAGAACAATTTCATCAGTCTGCTATAAGCTTTTAAAGCAATTTTCTATTTTACAACTAAAGACTTACAATCAAGTGCAGTGAATACAAAATTGAAAGGAAAAAAGTTTAAAATCACCAGACTGTAGAACTAACAAGAATTTACCTTCTCCTCAAACTTTAAATTGTGACTACAACATATGCAAGTTATTTTTGAGCAATACTTTAAAATACGGTAAAAAATCTGGTAGAAATTTACACATTCCTTGTTTTATAAGGGCATTCTAAAACGCTGTAGCCAAATCCTGGAAGTGCTAGTGTTACAATCCAAAATGGGCTGCTATGCTATACAAGAGTACATGATCCTGTTAATTCAAGAGAGTTAAGGCTAAAACTGGGAAAGTAGGCAAATCTGAAACACAACAGCATTTTCTCCAAAATATAATTAGTTCACATCCTCATCCCTAAGATTAAACAGCATCACTGCCTTGAAGAAAGAGACAACTGATCTAAGGAAAACTGATCAAGGGCTGCAAAACTGCTCTTAAGCAGGACAGCTCCAGCAGCCTAATTAGGCATAATAGATATATGCTTAAGATTTCTTATACACCCATGAGGTTTTTCGTTAATCAGTAAGAAGTACAGTTTAATGTATGAGCTTGCACATCTTTAGGTTTAAGTAAGCTGCTTAACACAGTTATGTTAAGAGAATGAAAGGAAGAATGTTGTAAAAAATTAGGAAAGCACACACGAGTTGCCTCCTAGTCTCAATACTTACTTGATCATTACAGTTTTATTACATCAGGTATTAAATTTTTCAGATAGTCAGAATGATAGGACTCAGTGCTATTCAGCTGCACAAGCTGGCAAAAGACACAGCTACCCTAAATGTTGAAACACTTAAGAAATCTACAATATTTAAAGTATTTTCTTCCAGTCAGGCAGGTCTTTATTTGAGTCAATTAGACTCAAGGTTTGATATGACATATAAAAGCTTTCTTGGAATGAGGACCATAATTAACACTACTACCGACTGATGGAGGAAATGGGAAGGCCAATAGCATCAATACTACACATGCTTATCATAGGAGTAACTCCTTACTCATGTAAATAAATTAAATTACCATAACTTTCTGATATGACTCAACAGCTTGGGAACTCACTATGAAACGGCAATATGCAGAAACTTGTAATGATTTAATCAGGGTGGGACAATTACACTCAATTTAATCTGAAGCGCTGAGTAATGTAAATAAGAAAGGGACAGAATCTTGTTTATTAGCATTTCGCATATATACTTTAGGTTTGTTAATTTTTATTAAGCAGGAAGTGATAAATATTGACTTAATAAAACAATATTAAATCTTCTATTTAGGATAGCAATAATTTGTGCACTGGGTTTTTAAGACAACACAGATGCAATTGCCATAGCGTGGCCTTATCCAGGCCATCACTTCTCATCGTGATCTCTACAGAGCCTCACACTATCCCCAATGACTGCTTCTTCTGGCAACCAAATAGAAAAGCCACCATTCCTAGTTTTACTATTTGTCACCCCTTCTCCCACCCAAATTGTCCAGCTTTATTGTCACATAATTGCAACAAACTTGAAGGGGAAAAAACCAAAAACCACAAGAAACTTGGGAGGATAATACCACAGTTCACAAAACAATCGAGTACATTCTGGCCAAGATTCTACAAATCAAAGTCTATAAATCTTTTTTCTTCTGATATCATGTCTGACTGAGTAGCTAGTTAACAAGATTTATTTAGCATACCTTTTCCTGGACATTCTCATCATGATTTGCCAGGGCACAAGCATCGCCTGAAGCATATTGCACTGTGGGTGAAAGACCGTCTTTACAAGACACATGCCAAATAGGAAGGCTATTAAAAATAAACAAAACAAAAAATCAAATACAGTTAAAGTCTTAATATAAAATGAACAAAAGATATTTTAGAATGCCCTCAGCATTGTCTCCCTCGACCTTTTTTTCAGTTGTTCCCATGAGATGCCTTAAACCCCCCCCAAACACACACATACAGTTCATAGATACTCATTTATCAAATTGAAGGACCTAGCTTTTAGAAATTAGTTACAGACAGCTCAGTTCAAATTTAGTACTTCCAAAAGACAAAAGTATCAGCAAAACAGTTACTGGGACAATACCACATAACAAAGCGGAAGCTAACACAAATTAGTTAAGTCACTGCAAGTTAGAAAGAATTTGAATCAGCTACATCCTTCATCATATAGTAATGGGCTATATTTAGCAGTGATCATTACTAAGCAAAAACTAAAGCCACAGATAAAAAAATAAGGCTTCTTATTTCTCTGTACACATCATACCTGAGAAAATTTGGTACAGTCGGCATCAGCAAGGACATCGAAGAGAATTAGAGAAAATAAGCATATTAAAAAAACCATGCAAAAAACAACGAAAATGTACATACAAATGGCAAACCAGGTACTGCCTTTAGCTACAACCTCCCCTAGAGGTTTTGTATTGCCAGATGTGAACAGTTTTGCTTGTCTGTAGAAATGGATTTGCTTCCATAAAAAAGCAGCCAACATTTATACAAACACTTGCACCAGAACAGCATTTTCTGTTGCTTATAGTGCACTGTCCCTTCATATCCTGGGTAACATTTGTACAGCAAACCATTAGGCTTGGAGGCCCAAAGGCCAGCAAAGGCCTTCATGCAAACTTCAGTAAGTCCAGCAAAATGCTATGCAAATTGAGCTTTTAGTGGAGTTTTCAACAGTACTTAAACATCAGAGTCACCAATTGCTTTAAATTCAAACTCTTTAAAGGAAATACTGTTTATGTGACAGTTCAGGTTATTAGTATGATCCCATGAAACTCACACAAACATTGCTCTGCACCCTGAAAAAGGGACCTCCTCCTTAGACGAGGAGACAGATCTACAGCAGATCTTTAAGCATAGAAGAAATCTGGACACAGCAACTTTGACATAAATTTTGAAAACTAAAACATAACCTTAACAGTCAGTCATAAAAGTAAGAACATTAGGAGGTCAGGATCCACTTACACAGCTGGGATCATTCTAGTGTTTAGAATTTGAATTACCACCTACCTGTCTTTAAGATTGGAAAGTATATGCAGTGCAGATTCCTCCACTGAGGTGGAACCCATGCTGCAATAGACTATTGCCTAGTACTAAATTTTAAAAGCACTTTCATGAATATTTGTACACACACATACACAGAGCAAGCACTACTTCTCCAGGCTGAATGCAATCACAAAACAAAGTGCTTGTTGTAGAGCTGTAAATCTACTGATCCTCTCCCACCCACATCGGCAGGGAGTGTTAGCAAGGCCTTCATCCCCCTAAATTGCGCTCTCTTAACTCCAGAAGAAGAGAATACAGCAGACAAGCAACTCATGGGATCTGACACACTATTCTGGATACGCGTAAATGAGGCGTCCTGGGTCTGTCTCAGTCCCGCTGCACCACAGTAATTCCTCTAACCTTTGAGATAACAGCTTCCCTCTAGTCTAAATGGAAGCCCTCAAGTCAAGCAGAAGCAGCTGCAGTTACTGGAAACTAAAGCACTGATTATAAGGGTACAAAAACATTTATAACCACACATTGTAGTGGGTACAAAGTCTCATATCTCAGTTAAGCTGAAAGTGAGGTGTACGCATTCTCTCATATCTTAAATTCCCATGCCGTCATGTAGTTACTGCTTTGTATTGAACCTGTCTGATCCTAAGCACAGGACGTACACTTAAGGGATGAAATACCTTGACTTACTTATTTCTCTGAAAAGTGGTTTCAATCATTTCATAGAGAAACTTTCTTATCTCTTAATTCCAGTACCTCTGGTTTCTTCTTCCAACTACAATGACTCCTTGATTCTTCATGACAATACAAGTGAAAGATCAATAATTATACAGAACATACTATAGCTCATTCCACCCCCTTACTGCAGGTACACACACATCAATATGTTCCTATTTTGCTTATGCTAAGGGGGGATGTTCTGTGAGCTGTACAGAGCAACATTAATTACTTTAATGTAGAAGAGGAAAGATATTGGCCATGAATCAGCATTTTAAAACATAAGGCATATTTCCACAACCACATTAATAACTACTTTAGCACTCTCAGCCACAAAAAGCACTTAGCACAAAAGGCATACATTTCTTGCTTAAATACACTGACACTTTTAATGCAACAAGTCATGCTTTATCAGAGCATGAATGTAGCTTTTAGAAGACTGTAGTCTGACAGGTCATAGATTTAAGCTATTCCACCATAATCTCTGTCCAAAACCCAACAGGCTGATTTTAAGAAATTCTTCTGTCTACTCCCAAACTCAAACATGATGCCTCAAGTCTCTCAAAAGCCCTCTAAGCAAGGGAGGGGACTGAGAATTCCTTTTGCATATGTGTGCATGCATGCACCCACAGGAAAAACTGAGACCTACTGCAACAGAGGATGCAGCAGTCAGGACAATATATCCTTCAGCTGCTGCCAGCAAGCTCTGACAGAGCATTAAGAACGCAAATCCACAGAAGGCAAGGCCACGTGAGAGTCAAATTAATCACCTTATTAGGACCATCGCCTCTTTTTTTCTTCTGTCTTTCAACACTCTGCATATTCATTCAGCCACAGGCTGATAAATTATATGGCCCATAATAAAAAAATTTGCCAAGCGGCATAACACCTCTGTTGAGTCTTTCTCTATAGGCAGAAAGACAAGAAACATGAAAAACTATGTGTTAATTTACAGAGAACAGATTTGTCCTTGAGTTTACTAAACTTGCACAGTAGGTCTAGTGACAGCGCAAGCAGCTTCTTGCATCTGTACATATTAACACATCACTCCCTCTCTCACATCAGGGAGTAGTATTTTAACGCTGACTTGGAAGTAAACAGATCCAATGTTCAAATAGCACTGGATATTAGTCATTAGATGCATCAACTCAGGTAGAAGGTATATCTTCAAATGATGTAAGTGCAGAAACACTTCAAGAGGTTGTTCCAAACCCACAGCCAACAGCTACTGACTTACATGGATACAGAAGTTTTCAGTAGTTCCATTTTTGCTAAGTACAACTCAAAATAGTAGATGCTATTAAATCCCAAAAAGAAAGAAATTTAAGCGCAAGCCTTTCCGTATCACCATTAATGTAGTTTAAAAGCTATTGTATCTAATACAACACTTTTTTTTTTCAGATTGATACGCAGAGACCCAAAAGCAAAAGCTGCATGCCCAGACACAGAAGGGCAGGGGTGTGGGGCGTGCGTGAAATCTTTACTGTTCACAGGGCAGGCACATGCTGTGGTTCTCTACTGAAGCAGAAAGTCTGCTCACCCCTGTGTGAATGGTACAGAACACTCACTGCTATACAATTAGCTGTGGTCTACTGATGGCCGTTAGGCTTTTGAAAAGCACTGAAATTCAAAAGCGCGGATGGTTTTGAAATTGTAGCACAGGGTTTCATGTGAAAGACTGACCGGTTCTAACTTGGCTCAAACTTTTTAATTAATTACGAAGGAGGCCATAGAAAATTACCACAGTTAGTGAAGCTACTGAAAACTGTTTTGGCAAGCACAAAAATCAAGTAGAAAGTAAACAACTGGTAAGAAAAATTAATCATACAACTACAGTTGACCAAAAAAAATAAATAAATTACAAGTTTGCAAGATCTGAGAAGTTTTTTCCACAATTTGATCTTCCCAGAGAAAAAGAGCTCGAGCTTTCCTTTCCAAAGGCTTCATACACAAACACTGACACTCACGCAGAATTCCAACACATCTGTCCTAAATGATTCAAGAGTTATCTTAAATTCTCCCCAAACAAGACCTATTTCTGGACACTAGAGAGTGAAGCAGTACAAAACAGTTTATAGTTGACACCTGTGAGACAAAGTAACTTTAAGCAAAGGGAAAATAAAAGGCAGCTATCCCCAGCAGGCAGTTTACCAAGCCCTCCTTGAATGCACAGAGAACAGCCTATCTTCAGGACGATAGCTGACATTTTCTGCACCTCTTAGCGGGTTGTATTACCAACAGGTGCGGATGTGCCATGTGACACTGCTCTACCAAAAATATTCATAGGATCAGTTCAGAATAAGCCTCTGCAAGAGAAGGTGGGTGGGTTTTGGACCTAGGGGGCAGAGAGCCAGCAAAGCAGGCCTGTCAGTGGGGATGGGGCACCTCTTTGGTGGTTGAAGCTTATTCTGATCACAAAATAATTTATTTTGGATTAATCACTCAAAAAATGAGAGAAATTGTGAAAGGGTGAGGATCACAGAAAAATATCTTCTGCAGGTCTGTGACTGCTATCACTTGCCTAACTGTCAAAGAGAAAGAAGGCTCTGTGCAAAGAAGGAGCTCAGCAGATCCACAGCCTGACTCTTGAGTCAGTAGTAACTTGCTTTCCAGCCACTGGTAATGCAGAAAAAAAAACAGCAAAAGGAGAGAACACTCACCCTCTCCCCAGAAACTTACTGGAATCATCTTTCTCTCACAACAGTTGAAGCAAAAGGGACTTGCATTTAAAAGAGCCTATAGAACAAAGTAAAGCTCTCAGAAAACCAAGACCAGGCCATTAAGACAGCAATATTACTTCAGCCAGTCAAAGAAAGCTATTTGCAAGGCAGTGGGCTTCATCACAATCTCCTCCAACAAAATATTCATTTTTGCATGTGAATTAGAAGTTACTGTTGATAAATGCAATGAAGAACCATTAATCTTCCTTACGAGTAAGACAAAAACAAAAATACCACCCAGAAAACACACTGTTCACCTAGGAGCCATTTATTACCACAGAAGAGCAGCATGCAATTACTAAGATAATTCTAGAAGTTATGTTGGACCTTTAAGGGAGAAAAAAGCTGAAGATCAAGATCTACAGATCTAGACTAAGCAAGGATGCTGCCAGCAAGATGTTGATATCGTCTTATTTTCCTACCAAAACAACTGAAATTGGAGCTTTTCCTAAAAATCCTTTACCAAGCCACTGTAATTTTCAATTAATTTAATTTTTTTTTTAATATCTTGTCCACTCTTTGCAGTGAGCATGCTCTCCAAATTTGTCTCCTAACTGGAATGCAGCGCAAAAAACCAGTTACTTCACGTATTCAGAGAAGCTCAGCAAAGATACTTCTAACAATCCTGAATTTCATAGCTTCAGAAAATGCGATTCCAATCATCAGTTTCAAATACAGCTTTCAGCATTTAAAACACATTGGCACGCAAAGTGCAAAACAAGATGACAAGTCGCACCACGCACTTTATCGGATGTAACTGATTTACTGCCTGAGGGGGTAGTCCTACATACTACTTTCAGCCCCATATTTCTCTGCATCCTCTCATCTGATCTTGAGACTGTGGAAACACACCAGTAACTTCGGAGGAGGGAAAAGAAAGTTAGCTTTGAGTTGGTGTACACTCAGATATAAAAAAGATGATGGAAGGATATCACATTTTGTTCATGACTGTCCACTATTGTCCTAAGTTAAACAACAGAAACCAAGGCTGAGGACTAACAGTGAAAAAACTCATTTCTTTCTTACAGTGCTGGCAGTGTTACTCTCACTCTTTGCAGAAAAGGCTGCTGAGATAACAGCCACCGTGGCAGCGCCGTAGCTGTGCACTGCTTTGATACAATGCCCATAAGGGAGCACAGCCTGTTATTAGATGCGTGCTGCAAAGCACCACTGAAACACATACCTCTCCCTCCTCTCTTGAAAGAAGTATCCAGGTTCCCCATTTCAGGCATTTAAATAAAGCAGGACAGAAGTCACAAACCCTAGCCCTCAAAAGGTGTCCGTCTGGAAGTGCTCAAAGGAACAGGCAGTTCCTGGTGCTCCTTGGTAACAGACTGCCGTAACTGCGCCGAAGATCGCAACCTAAGAGAATCTCCCAGCCTTGTCAAACTCCAGTTTCTATCTTTAATCATGGATGCAGGAGAACAACACATTCTGGAAAAACAGAATAGAACCTGATACTAACCACAACAGCTACAGAAAAACAGTCAAATAGCCATGAACTGCGATTAAACATAAAGGCGTTTAGAGTCTGTAGTGATGTCTAACTTACAAACCTTTGAAGATTTCACATTGCTTAAATGGATAAGCCTGTCTACAGGCACAACACTGCAACAGCAGGCTCAGAATCA